AAAAAAACAACTATACTGAATACAAAACAATGGACTATGTATGGTTCTTGTTGAAGGTAATGTAAGATGTTAATGGAAGAGCGAGGTTTTGTGGGGAAAGGGAAAGTGATAAAATAAATGGCCGTTGGAGTTAGTGAAAGCCTAGTAAATGTAGGGAAATGCGAAACCGTGTTTGTAACTGTTAGATCAACTATTCCCGACGATTACATGATAGTTTAACAGTTACAAATCTCGACGAAATGACTTCGTCATAGCATCTCCCATTAATAAATCTCTGCACACATTATTATTGCATTATTAATTTCCACGCATGCCCTTAGCACTCCATTTGGTGGGGGTTCCATTATTAAACTTCCCATAACTAATAATCTTGAACTAAGACTTCAACTATGTGAATAAGAAAAAAATACATTGTGCTCTGTCCAAGAATTTTTCCTTTCTTCAAATTTAGGAAATTAGCTAAGTCGTGCTGTAGCCGATTATAACTGATTATGAAGAAGTATCCTAGTCTTCAACCGAATGACACCAGGTGGATTTGATTTTATCCTTACGGGCAATGCCTTCGTATCATACAGTCATAATCATTCACATATTCATACACGTATGTGTTTATCGACGATAAATCATAATCATTCACATATTCATACACGTATGTATTTATCGACGATAAACGCATACGTGTATCGAATTGTTAGAACTCCCACTGAACAATACCAATTGAGGTAAGCCGAAATTCACCCGCGTGCCTAACATTAAATTGGCATTAAATTAGTTACCGCGCAAGAGACCATACATTTTTCTAGTTCACAGGACAAAGTACATTTAGTTATAAAAGCGAGTGGGTTTTATTGATGGATAGGATCCAATGCAACAGCATTTAACCATGCTATGATAATTATACTCACGTGAGTCTATTTAATTTTAGTAATGGCTAGCACAAAGTGCAAATGTTCATATTTGGGCATAGTTTTGACTGGGTTGGCCGGGTTTTGATGGTATAAGTGAATAAGGTTGAAAGAGTCGGAAAAAGAAAAAAAAAAAAAAAAA